GTCCACGAGCAGCGAATACCGGCGCCTACTGGATAGAAGGAAAGAAAATCGAAGGCCAACGTTTAGACAGCCGCAGCCGGTCCCATAGTCATTCTCGTTCTTTAGGACCTCAGGAGGGCGGAATGGAGAAGTCCCGAACAATAGAATCACAGTTTTTAGCCCCGGAAAAGGAGAGCCTGCTAAGGTCCATCCCGTGCGAATCACTCGCTTCAGCGAACGGAGCAACTGGAAAATGTACAGTGGTGGCAGAGCAAAGGATCCAGCCGGACGCACGGGAAAACGGCGGCGTTTTTATTCTGTAGAAATAGAGAGCAGAAAAGCAAGGCAGAGAAAAGAACTATGTCGAAGACTATGACATACGTAGTGGTTGGTGCGAGTTTGGTCCGGGCTCTATTCTATTCGATTGCATACAGAATTGCCGGTGTACCTTATTTTGAGAAGGATTTTTGTTGCGCTTCTTCTGGTGCCATTTCTTTATCTATTTATAATTTTGCTCTACCTGGATTATATGGCCTGCAATGCAATGTAGCACTTTTATGGTTTGTCGTGTGAAACGTATGTGGGCATTGTTTTATTTCATCTAAAAAACACGCACTCTGTAATACTTTTCAAATAACAGCGTACGTAGAGGGGTAGCAAATATACGTACGCTACAGTGTTCCTATTTGTCCTACCCGCATGCAATTAATAATTACGCACCACTAGACTCCATGATATATTTCACGCTAGACCCATGACATACTCTTCACCTTCCATTTGACTGCAATGCGCTTAAAGGCATTCGTTAGCTTTTGTGACCTATATGCCATGCTCAGCAACTCACTTGTAAAGGCCTTCATATTACCGCCCTGTGTATAAAGTTAAATAACCTTGCGTACCTCAAACATTAGTCTTCATTTATTTTGCCTGTCAGCATCGTCCAGTCATTATTTATCTATATTTCTAGTTTTTCTTTATTTGATCTTAGTTCGATCATATTTTATACGATGTCAACTGTTAATCGATATTCTCTGACGTACTTACAGGTATAAAAGATCAGACTGTTTACGTGAATAGAACATTCAACAAAGGACAAAGTACGCTAGAACATAAATGCAAACGAGCTTATGGGGGTAGGTCGATTAGGACGGGCATAATCGCATTGTGAAGCTATGTGCTTTTGTGTTTTCCTATGTTTATCTCCGTCGTTAAACAACAGGCTATCGGTTGTACCGTGTGCCACTTACTGCCAAATTCAGTCGCCGTATGCGATACTTAAATATACAGAATCGATCATCTACTTACTTCAAACTCGTTGCGTACGAAAACGTCACGTTATTTTCTTCGTATTATTGCAAGCATGTAAAAAGACACTTTTATAATTTGCTCACTAGTGAATAACGATGGGTGAGAGTCGTCAGAAGTTATCAGAAACGTATGTGGATATTTACTCAGATAAATATCTGATGCATTAAACCCCAGAGAAAATCTTAAGAACCGACCCAGATCAGTGAAACGCAACCACTTAGCTACAATTGCAATGGTAAGCAACGAAGCAAGTCTTATTGCTAATCTTTACTATTCTGAATTCACCAATTTTCTAAGAAACACTATCTCAAAACGTTGTTGCTGCTGCTGCTGCATAACATGTTACAACAAATGCTAGAAGCAAAAACCGACAAAGTACTTGCCTTCTGATAGTTAATTACATATATGTTTTGCCAAAAAGTACGCGACATACATAGCAAGCGACTACCTTTATCCTTACGTGTGGAATTTATCGTGTACTGCTTAAGTCATAGAACCTTTTTGCGAAGTCATAAGCCACCTGTGAGCTGCATCGCACGTAACAGAACACAGGATCAACCCTCGAAAGATGAATTATCTTGTAGCCTATAGCTTGTCGCTTGTTGCTTATTGCTATTCCTGTATAAAGAACACCCTTCAACCGTGTCAGCTGTCTTTGACAGCAGAAGGACGGCGGAGCCTTCGGGAAGTCTTACCATAGCCATTGCAGTGGTATAGGCTTGGATGCAGGCTGTCATGGAAAACTGCACATGTCCCAAGTCGCCCTTCTATCTCTTGCCGGCTTTTTTAGAAAGCAGGGTCAACAGTTTTACCTATAACGTTTAAAATAGCAAACATAAATGCATATACGTATTTATAAGCCAGGGTTCACCGCACAATTAAAGGTTCAGGTTGGTAACGCGCACTGTTTCTTGACAAAACTTCCGCAGAAATTCAGCATTACTTCGACAATGACACAGCTTAACTCTGATCACTTGTAAACTCTGAGCTGATTTCCCTGATGCCTTCAACATACCATGCCACCGTACCTCTTATTTCGCAGCTTTTGTTTCTCAACCGCCGAAGTCGGTCACGTCTCTTTGGTACGGTCGTTACGTCCTCTACGGGTCACCCCGTATACGTCGACGGCAGAGAGTTATAATGACTAACTTCCGAACGCCATTTGACGTGATTGTTGTCATTGTTAGTTGCAGCGCATAGTTAGCTGGGACGATTCTAACGTATCGTTCAGACCACTTGTGGCTGCCTCGGACGCCTTCTATTCAGTCCAGTCTTCTCGCGTGGCGCCCTCGCAACCGCGGTCACCGCTAGCATCAGTGCCTAATAATTACGCGATTTGCCTTCATTGTGCCTGTGTCATGCCGCGCTAGGCCTGACAGATGACCCGTAGCTTCAATGCTGCGTAGTCGTATCTGTGACAGCGATATCGGCTTACGAGTAGATGTGCATATAATAAAATCTAAGCTACCTAGGGTTAATTAGACGGACATATTGACTTGATAATTTCATGGCCATCAGTTGGCAGTTTTGCTATACTCTGAATAGAAATATAAATTGGAGTTGTAGGAGTAGGTTTTTACGAAATGGCAATGTTTCGACTTCGTTTGGCCACTATTTGGCACGGACGAGGAACATTATTCCTTCCAAGGACAAAGGCGTGTATTTTTCTAAAACAACTCTCTTCATTACAAACTAACAAAAGTTATACATGGTTTTGGGTAAGCTAAGGGGCTTTCAAGGTATGCATAGGTCTGCCAATCAGCCGTAGCTAAATAGCTAAGGACTCCCCTGTGGATTTTACGTACAGTTGCAAATGAAAAAACGCAAAACGCAGAATTGAGCAATAGCACAATAGACATAGTATAGTAATAATACGACGATACTTTTCATTACGAACTCAGTAAAATATATGTTTTACTGCTGGACCAAATGGGTACGTACATGAATACCTGAAAGTAAAATTGAGAGCGCCACCTACTTTGCGTCTGTTTGCAAGCGATTAGTGTTACGACAGTAAAATAATGTTGGCCCCTATCTTTCTGATCGTTGTAGTTACTCGGCATTAATGTATTATCAGCCAGAGGGGTAGACTTGGATATTTAGCGCTCTACCAGGTAGCAAGCCGATGACCGAAAAATTGCATGCGTGTTGCTTTCTGTTGCCTGGCGGCAAGACCGCTGACCTGTATCTAATGCATACTGGATATCCATGGAGTAGTCTGACGAGGACACCAGCATTGCCAGTAGACATACGTTCTCCAGGGTCTTACTTAGCAGAGAACTTTGTATCACTAGATCACCTCTTCGTGGTTTCGTTACCGACCTCTTCGAATGCCTTGAGTTTCCAATAAGATGTTCGGAGCAACGCCAACTCACCGGTGATCCACTCCCGCTGCGATACCAGTTTGATCTTCCCGTTGGTATACCTTCTGAATGATGTCCTGTGCATTCCCATTAAGACACCTGCTATCTAGATCTTTTTCATACACGTATACTAAGCTAGCAAAGGGGACAGGAATCCAAAAGCGGTAGAACTCAGGGGAGGAAGGGTACAGCCAGGGCAAGGGGGTATAGAAATAGGTAAAAGGATGCAGAATAAGGAATTTGTTCAGGAGTCAGGAGACCCAATGTAGTGACGTTGTGTTTGTATAAACTAATCCCTATGCCGTACGGGTTAGCATCACTACGAAGCGAGACAACGTATTTGCATTTGCAACTAGACAGATTGTATATAAATGGACCGCGAATCTATAGCGTGCACTGCGCTAAAATCGAAGATCAAACATTTAACCGTAGCGGTGGATTAACTACATATGTGGACTTGACAAAGTGTCTCATACGGAATGACATGCTCTGCATTATTAGGTATATTAGGTTACGATAGATTGTACTACTGGTAACGTTTGTCAACTCAGTGACCTGATAAGGAGCTTATACGTAGTCAAAAACATTTTTTTTCTTTGTTTTTAAAGCAAACCTTTTATGTTTTCAGTTGTTATTTAGGCACAATAGTAAAGTTTAGCTTGTTCGAGATGTTACCACCTTTTAAACCTGAATCAATTTTTGTCAGTCTTTGAATTTTTCCATTGCACGAAATATGAATTTGAACACAGGTTTAACTCCGTGATATCTGCCTTCATTTGATCCATTTGGTAAATGGAATCCATTCTCACTTTGTTCGTTAACAGACAACACTAAAATATCTACATGTTGGCAGCGGGCGGTGTTTTATAGGCTTATGAGTTATCGTATGGATTCGTATAATGTCGTATATCGTATAACGTCCTAAATATCGGTTTAAGTATTTGCCTTGTTTATGTCTATGGTATCAAACCACATAAAAGTCGATATAATTCAACAAATCAATAGTGTTGTATCATACACTTACATCAAACTTCGATAGTATGCTTAAGTAGTGCGTCTTCATCTGCAGGCAGCATCATACGCATACAAGCCCATATATCTTTCTATAAGTTCCTATATAAGACTATAAGAAATATAGTCAAATGCCTATCTATGATCAAACTTGCTCTCGACCGCTGTCGTGCCTTAAACTGCGCGCTTATACGAGTGTGTCTCAAAGGAGAGAAGGGAAGCGCGTGTTTGGGTTCTGAAACTCTAATGGTCGACTATTCGCTTTGAAAGCCCCGAGAGGGTGTCGACTTCGCGTGAATATTCACTGCTCCCGTTCGCCTGTTTATGTCTGCCTGTCCATCTTTCAAGTAGTTGCGTAGTCACGTCTTGCCTACTGCTTACCAGCCGTAGAAAATCTGCGACCACTGCAGACGTTTGCAGTGATCGTGAACAGCTGGATGTGAAACTGTAGTAGGAGAAAAAATTTTCAATCCTGTAAAATCAGAATATTATGTCGAAGTGCAAAATTTAGCTTTGCCATTCCCATCAGCCAGTGGCGAGTCTGTAACAACGAAATGAGTATGTGCATGTGACCATCCTTTAATGGTGCACATCAATGCAAAACGGTGCTTTAGGCCAGTACGATGAACTCAATTAATATTGAAACAGTGCTAAATGAAAGAGTTATATTGGCTAGTTTCTCGTGGCAGCGGCCTATCTTTTGGCCTTTTAGCTTGCGAACCTCCCAGTGCTTAGGCTCGACATAAAGGTACAGTAGCCAAGGGACGGTTCTGGGGCCTAAGCGATAAAGCTCTATTATACTCTAAATGGATCAAAGATCAATTTCTGGCTTAATGATCGAACGCAGTCAGTTTCAAAGAAGGCTCCACGATCGCGACCATTTGCTTAGTCGTACAGGCTCTCGCCTAAAAATAAAAGACAAAGACGCGTAATTCGTTTCTGGTGCTACACGATAGTTGCATAAGGTGAAAAGGCTACTTTTAATAGAATAGAACGAAAGTATTTGATAGAGTTATTCTGAGACTATGGAATCAATTTTAGGGGTGATTTGTAAGCATACCGAATACTTTTTGAATTGGAAACGCTTGAGATACTATATTCAAGGTACTTAGGGGCTAGTTTCTTATGATTTGTCGCTTGGCCTGCGACGCAGACGCGGGCAAACAAAAAAAATAGTACGTTGTAATAAGTCTTCTGCGTTCGTACGACCAAATATAATTTAACAAAGGAAAATGCTTTACAACTATATTTTTATGTTTTCACATATATTTCGATGCCTTCATTCTTGACTCAGTATAATATAACAGATGGTTCGACAGGCCTACCGCTAAGAGTCGTGAGCGCACGAGAGCAACAGGGCGCTCTTTCAAGACCGCGTTCCGAACAAGTAATGCTAAGAAAGACGCGAGACGTGCACAAAGATAATAGGGTTTCATTTCCGTGGCAAAGATGCGTTTCCAGATCGAGCTTCATCTTCTCACTGTCTCTTATTCAGGCCTTCTTTTAGCGTTCCCAACACCGAAACGACAACGATGGGTAAGTCATAATTCGTTGCTTGTTTGATAGCAAAGCCAACGACAATAACAAAGTAGCGGTGAGAAATTTCTTACTGAAGCCACCTATGATGTAACATCGGTATTCTTGTTTTCTCTCGACGCCAGGCCCTTGGTCAGGACCGTGCATGATCCTTTGTTTAGGTGAGTGGACGAATTAAGCTATACGAAGACGACTCGCCGGGTTATCTGAGAGATCTTTTACTCGTATAAGATGGACAGTGATGTAATGAACGGATTGTCGCGAATGAGGAAGATAAAGCAGAAGTGGTAATATTCTCTTATATGTAACGCGAAACGCGAGTGCGGCTGTTAGATACCTGGTAGAACCAAGCCCTTTTCTTGAGAGTCTTGTTTTTAAATCGGCATTCCGATAATGTTATCACTGATATATTATATCCAGAACGTCTTTATACGCCTTTTAGTGAAGAGAACTCCTATTCAACGTTGCTCAGTCATACGAAAACCGGCTTGCCACGAAAAAACACTAGAAGAAGCAGAAATACTATACATTTTATTGGTTTTAGCCTAGTGCAGTTGCACGCCGCTCTGACGAAACGAACAAAAGGATTCTCAATAAGATCGTTGTCTCTAGACGGCCTTGCTCCGACATGCTGGAGCCAGCCGGCCGGCGGAGGCTTGTTGGACCTGCTTTTGTCCCCATGTGGGTGTGTTGTTTACCCCGTTGGGGCTCTTCTCACAAGGCCCTCTCCCAGTGGGATATTGCCGACCAGCCTTCCTTAAACACAGAAGTCTTGCAGGAAAAGCCTGGAGGAATAGGGGTATGGTAGAAATATTTCAGTTGATGGGAAAGGGTCGCCAGCGGAGACAGGAGCCGCCGAAAGATTTCGATGGTTTCGCCAGTTAGCTAGGCAAGGGCCACGGCAAAGAGGCAGCATCTATGAGTCAGGATGTACTATTTGTGCCTGTTTCGTCGCCGCTGGCTGCGACGAGTGGCCGCGCTCCACTATGACTACTGTTCCCCCATCCATCACATACAGCAGGCGCCGCAAGAGAGACCCGGGTCCGGCCGCGAACGGCGAGAAAAGGATGTGTGATGCTCGGTCGACGCCAAGGCCCCGATAGGCAGGGCCACATTCGGGTATTTCATGGACAGTACTACTCACTAAAACGAGCAAAAACGTTAGTGGCAAAGACGCTGGCCATTTGAGATGGGTGGGCGACACACGAGACTGTACTGACATTGGGAAGGATGGCTGGCTGTGATGGGTGAAACAGAGTTAGGAAACACATTATGAGTACGTGAAGAATAGATTGCTCTTACAAGGAAGATTCTTAGGCTGACTTTTCATGGTATATAGGAGGTCGCGGCATGGTGGTATAAGACGATTTAAATAAGTCATCATCAATATTTCAAATCTTTCGAAAGTTTGAAAAGCAATTGTTAAGTAGAAAAAGGATCGTTATCAATAGTATAGGAAAAAGCTGTATCCTGTAAATTCGTTTAGGGCCCTTTGAAGAACTGTTAACTTGCGAAGTATGGTTTCCGTAACTTAATGGGAATCACTCTAGTCATGTTCCCGTTTTATGTTGCACCCTTAGCAGATTTAGGGTTTAGCCTACCCTAATGGTAGTGTTGAGGTTTGGATTACTTCAACACTAACGTCCATTTAATCTAAGAACGAGGACTATTTTACTGCGCCACCTTATCTCTCTGTTCGCAAGAGGAATTGGATATATACAGCAAAAAACAAGCCCTGAACTCAAATTCCGTACCCCATTATGTCATACGCTTTTTACCTGCATTTCCTTTTAGCTTACCCTCTTTGCTACCTTATCATAGTAATTTCAGTACGACACAATATTTCTACGCTGCTTTGCTATCCCTCCTACACATACCGCTGCTCGCCAAGGCACGCAAGAAGTTCTGCAAGCCTCAAAACCTCGTGTAGTGGCACGCATTCTGTCACTATGCGCACGGAATAGCATACGGTGGTGCCGGTCTCTATAGTCGAACGTCTGACTTTTACCGTAGGTCTAGTAGGCTAAGAGAGAACCGAATTCCTACCAGACAGTGCCTCTAACGTAGGCAGAGCTCTTTCGATACACTAGACTCCAAAACTTCGGAGGTAATGTGAGTAGTGTATCAAGCTATAGTCATCGTCTTCGGATGCATCTTTACACTCTGATCCGATCGGTTCTCTCCACGAGACTTTCTTTTCTTTTTTAGCACCCTTAAGGATTGTACGTATTGACCCCATAATCTATGGATATACCGAGATGCGTAGAGCAGGTAACAGATGGCAGTCCGTCACCACCCGCGATAACATTTCCATGCATTAACACTGTTGGTACCATTGTTGTTTCCCGCATAGAGAAAAGAGAAAAAGTGGGTACCACTCAAGACCGTGGATTCCGCAACAGCGGCCTCTAATATAGAGGAAGTTTCCAGGGCTTTGAAGGCTGCGTAACTTCGGGCGTAAGAGCCAAAAAAGGAACAACCTCCCTATAATTCCCTATTCCCTTTCTATGGATAATACGAACGGTCCGAGCAGCGTCTCGTCAAGGGCTAGCACAGCAAGCGAAACGACAGCTCTTCACGCCGCCGCGGTGAAGTGTCCGATGGCCTTCGCGGTGCAACGAAAAAGGACAAGCATCGGCCGTTGCCACAGCAGAGCCAAAGAAAAAATGCTTCGTCAGCACTTTCCAAACGGCTTTTGAAGCGCAACCGTGAATCAATGGCGAACGCGAAATGGAGAGACTTAGGCGCCAGGGCGCGTTGGGCAGCCTTTGAAAGACTGCTACTGGCGTCGCACTGCCAATATTTCCTCTGCGCGCGAACGACATTCATCTCTAGATAGAGTGTACAACGAAGTATGATAATACCGCGTAAGAGACAGCAGGCGCGAAGGCTCGCTGAAAGAATCACTGCTGACTGAGTTCGGTGCTATCAGTAAATTCTATTCCAGCGGGCGGCTAACACTTTGCACTTCTTGGATACACACATCTTGTCATTTTTATTCTGCGAATGTCGCTTGGATGCTCCGCAAATGCCGCGTGTCCTCGAACACATGACGACAGTCTCATACATTCGTACACGTGTCTACTATAATACCCTGGCAAAAAAATCATTGGTGTATGTTAAATCATCAAATACCGAAAGAAGAGGAGTGTGTCAAGCACACAGATTGCTACGCATACTCTTTATCGAATGGGGCGGTGGCTCCTAAAGCATGTGGCATGATAAGATAAACCACACCAAGATTCAAGTGATCCAACTACAGACGTTTTTACTGCGTGCACGCTTCTTTGTCCTGCATGCCAGTTGAGCCTGTTCATTCAAGGAATGAGAATCTGCGGTGGCCATGGCAGTGGAATCACTGCGGTAACCTTGATTGTTTATCAGATTCAAGGCCTAGAAAGGCTTTATACCACTGCGCAAATACACTACGGTACGGGGTTAACTTATAGACGAGGTTTACCATACACGCGAGTAGTATCTCATTCGCATCTCACCGCAAACTACTCATCGCTCGCTGCAAAAGCAACATTTGTTCCCTTTGTTTCTCCCACACACCTTCGATGATAAGGATTTGAAGGGCGAGTTGGACAGGGAACTAGCATGGTGCCACGTACCGCATTGCAATATCGTTATTTCCTGCTCCCTGGACACGTTTGCGGTTGGCAAACATGTTTGTTTTTGTAGCGCTCGTTGGTCTATCAAAACTAAATGCCAGCGGTTGGCAAGCGAACGAACGTTTGCTTGTTTGACACAGAAGAGACGCATCGTCCCCCTCAACTCGGCGTCTTAGCAGTTTTGCGTTGTTTGGATTGCAAGTGCCTGGGGTCGCCACAAAATCTCCTTCCTGGATTGTTGTGCGATCCAGGATAACGGATGGCTCGCTAGCCCAATAGCCGTTTTCACTTCTGTGCCTGTTCGAAAATAAAACGGGAATCCTCCCAGTTTCTGTCGGTCCATGAGAGTCATCACCTTGTTCCGTTGCTTAGCTATAAATACATCGACGGCTGGCTGTTGTTGTAGTGGTGATAGTGAGGCGGCCGTATCTGAAGATATAGAAGTGGTCGTATGTGTCCTGTCGGTGGTTATATGAGCGATGCGGTATTAGCGGTTCGATATGGTGCGAATACTCAGCTGCAGCAAATTCGATATATTGATTTATTGAGTGACAGAGTGCTGTTCTACTCCTGTGTACGTGCGCCTGCGACGGTCAAAGCGGATGCGAATTTGTTTAATCGCAAGCTTAAGACAGGTCAAGTAAAGCCACCGAATAAGGCGCAAGCAGTATTTACTTATTTGGTTAGTTTGTTGATTGGCAAGGTTGCGCGGATTGGTGACGGCTGGTTCATTCACTTCATCAATCAAAACCGTCACTTAAGATACAAATGCCAAAGAAGACGTATAGCTAAATGTAGTTATCCAAGATCAAGGAAGTCAATTTCACCAACAATTTTATGCTCAGATAATTATTAGTCATGTAACTAATTATGCAGAAGAAAGCCGAGGCTCAAATATGCCCTCTTACATGGACAAAACAAATCTGAGACGATATGACGTAATTTTCTGTCTTCTGTGGTCAGTGCCTTCTCTACATTATCACCTATCATATCGCACCAAACCATAATACAATCGTCTGGCTAGGAAAAACCTTTAAAGTACGAAGAACTTACGGGAAGCTTAAGTGAATTTTAACTTTTTTCAGATAGGTGGCGGGCCAGGCAACCCGGCATTAATCGTATTGTCCGGTTTTCATAGTAGTGGCGTAACGTCGAAGAAATAGTACATCTTCATGTATCGCAATCGACCGAAAGAAGGGGACACGCGCAAACGACGTGGGATCCCTCTTTACCAGTCCGTCAACAAAGTATTTATGTCCTAACGCTAAGTGCGTAGCTCAGACTAGTCGTCAGTTACGCCTAATCGCCGTCGTTGAATACGCGGACAACGATGCCAGTCCGCGCTAACTTCGCGCCTTCTGCTTCGGCCCTTTCTTCCAAGTTCATCCAAGATATATGTACGCAAGTGTTTTGGATATAGGATATCAAAGACGCTTGCATACAAACAATGCCTCAAGTTAGCAGTAACCTACAGCAACCTATCGGTACCTACCAGCACATTCTACATATAACACAACATATATTACATATGACCTACGTTACCACAAAATTAGTTTTAAATTGATGATGTAACTAGCGGTAAGTTGAAGCAAACGCGTGCACCTCTAAGCAGATGAATGTGTGCGCAAAAACTTAAATATGACACAGGCATCGATTGGTTCAATCGAAACGGGTAAACGTCAATAAAGCACTTGTTATTCGCAAAAGCCTCTGAAAGGAGACCTCGAAATGCTGGGCGCAAATGGAATGCAATGTCCACTTCAGAAAATACATGTAGTTCATCATCAGAGGCCATAGACGATCAATACGTGATTAAGTTCGGTGATCGTTCGGTAATAAAAATCGGCAACAAACATAGCCACTCCGTACCTAGTTATTATGTCTGTACGGACTAAACACACATATGCCGACGTCCGGGTATGTGTATCGTTTTATAAATAATTTTTTTTAAATAGTTTTTAATAAATAGTAGATGTCTGATTTCATTCAGAATGTCACGTACACACTTTACACTAATACAAACCCAACGGAGGATCGTAGGTCTATGATGCATTACATTAAGGGAGATCTGTAGTTCAGTGGACAAAAGTAGGCGCTTCAAGCGGCGCGCGCTTCAGATCACTGGAAAACAACCCACCAATCAATTCTGCTATAGCTACCATTCGCAAACTACCGCCGTAATCTTAAGGGCGAGCAATTGCGTTTCCGTCGCGTACGAGGCCTTTTAAGCGGGTAACAAAAAGTGCTACTGGCCGATTGTTGTCTCTGCTTTACCCAGCTGACAATAGTGTTATTGTCTTTGCTCAACGATTCGATCAGTGCGGAGACGTCTTGGAGATGGCGCGAAATTTGAATCTGGCTCATGTCGTCGTCGAACAACGGACATGGACAACTAACTGCAGACAGACAGGCGACCACAATGACTTCGAACACGTCGAGTCTAAAGACTGTCACCACCATATCACCGCAACACGCAGACAAACATTTTGATACCAATTCTGCTGGTAGCTATAGGAGAGGATCCGTGATGATGAGAGCTATAGAGCTATGACGAAATATCGAACAGTAATGTAATACAGACAAAGAGAGTTAGCCAACAAGAAAAAACGTCATAGATCTAGTTTGTTATTAGGGAAAACTGTAAAATCCGAAATGTCACACGGGGCACCACGCTCAATGTCGCCCAGGTATTGACGCAAACAATGCGTCAGTAGATTTTTTCTACTGCATCAAATGAATATCTTTTTATGTTAGAATGAATAACGCGAGCATCATACATTAATGACTGTTAGCTTCGCTTTTGACTAAATCGCTGTAGATTTATTTATTTAAATGGAGAAAGCGGGGTACGGATCCGACGGTGTCCGACGTCACGTAGAAGTGTTGTAGCGTAACGATGGATACGCATTTCATGGAACAACTGGGTTCTATCTGGTTCGCTTCGAATCAGTGTAGTCCTTGTTTAAAATTATTTAAATAAGTCGGCAGTGAGGTCATTGGTGCGAAGAACTCTAATGCCATGCTGCACTATCAACAGATGTGTGTATAGTCACCTTAGTTAGATCATTAACAAGCATAAGAAAACCCGGTGGATGAGTATTACATCAACTATCTAGCAAAAAAATTTGGATCTTCTTGAATCGTTATTGGACGATTTCAATCTAGCGATTTGCTACGCTATCCAGTAGTTTCTGCCAACTTTCCTGATTTATTCCAACATACTGTGTTGGACGAAGTTCGAAACAGCTATCTCAGGGCTTTTTTGTCGGAAACTTAGCTATCCAGGCATTTGTTTGTGGTTTGCTTCCACTCTAATTCTTCAGACAACTAATACAAACATAATTAAGATTAACGGGACTGCGATAACCGGAAAGGCAAAATGTCAGTATTGTCACATTACCTCTACCAGTGGTCTTTCCACCTTGTCCGAGGCAGCACTTCTTCTATGCTTTTTTTTTGGCTAAATTCACCTTATTTGTTATCTCCTTCCCTATTTGCGTAATCCAATGGATGGTCAACGGCCGAATGACACGCTGGCTATCAACCAACCCGGCTCGCTCTGTGGATTCGAAAGTACCTCAACGCCGTAGATACGTCGATGGCTTTGTCCGCATAATCGCATGGTATACGCGGCAGTTTTTGTATCCGACGGGCGAAACGCATTGAGAATACGAAAACGTCTGCGCTGATCGCTTACTGTTCGCCTGGCGTCTTCTCCTGGTTAGACTCGTCCATTGATGCTATCCAAAAAGTACTATCATGGCCTCTTCCCGCACAAGATGAAAGCAGTAGCCGCGGGAGCAGCCGGAATATTGCGTCTGATTGTAAGCCATATGGATTGCAGTCCTGATGCGTTTCATGGGATAACAGTGGCCAAGATCGTTGGGGCTAGCAGCCGCTCGGTCCATAGCTAAAATTGTTCAAAGCCAGCAGGTACAGACTCGAGCCCAGGAAGCTCGGCAGGCTGAGAAAGCGAAAAACTATAGAAGCGAATGGTCGGCTAAGGGCCAGAGTTGTAAAGCCACTTATTCCCAATATGGCGCCATCGTCTCGTTGAAGCTGGATTTGATCAGGAAGGTGAAAACCAGGAGTGCCCCTGTGTATGGACCCTCAATTATTTGCTGTATCATCGACCGTAGCAAGAGATGCCCAGGAAACACGGGCAAAGTTGGATAAACCGGGTTTATGTCTAACAGTTTGTGCAGTCTCACGTGTGCTGAGTAACCGGAAACATGGCTAGGGTATTGAAATGCGTAGAACTATTGCTTCCATGAAGATCTAGCTTCAACACAGCAAGTCCGCCAATATTCAATTTTCTTTTAAAATCAAGATTGAACTATGCGCTGGACAGACTCGCATTTCCTATTATGTAATATAACCGCGAAAGTAAACCGTTAAGTTGCAACTTATTCGCTGCGCGACCAAAGAAATGATACGTTATATAGTTAAACTAAGGTACCACTAATAATAATAGGTATTAATCATTTAACATGTTCACAAGTGCTCTAATAGAACTAGCGCGTTGATCTTCTTTTATGATCTTCATATTCATATGTCCCGTACGTGTCTGTATTCTCCTGTAATTTTACGCAACATTCTGACGCTCTTTTCTCTGACTACTACCAGTGGTAATGAGTGTCACAATTCCATTTCTATCGTTTTTAAAAGATATTCACAATACGTACGATTTTCATATGATAGTGATGATTAGAAAAATAACCTACACACATACGTATATGTCAATGCTAATACACGTTCCCACATACGCAAGTACAAACATACGCCTATCTCAGCTCTTTGCTCGATTCTGTCATCGTCGTCGTCGTTATTTCCATAAACTCCACACCGAGCCTTATTGTTTGTCGATGTGCCCAAAAACGTGGCTACTCGACCTACAGAGTCCATTCTTTATCAGTACTGCCACCGGACCGTCTGATTAACTCGAAGCCTCACAGAACTTGGCAACTTTTGTCTTTTGCCCTTCCTATTAGTTTCGTGTTTGTTATGTATGTAAAAAGAGGCAATCGAACAAATTCAAGCTCACTCGATCAATGCCGCTAGCAGGGCCCCATAAAACGAGCTAAGCACGTCTGCATCAAGCATGAGGTAAAGGTTCAGCGGAATTGTTTCGTGAATGCGGCGGAGCAGTGCCAGCGCGAGGCTCGCGTCTCCTGCCTTGCCAGGAGTGAGGTAAGACATCGAAGACGAATTTCAGCTCGGTAGAAGCAGGTGCGGGCAAACTAATTGTGCTCTTTCTCTCTTTCCGTCCCAGTCAGCCGGTAAGTAAGTCAGCCGACAGTTTAATAAGGCCGATTTATCAGTTTAAAAATCAACCAACAGGCTGTACTGAGGTCGTAGTATATTGCTCTGGCGTTGCGCGGTCACTGAAATCGCCCAACGATAAAGTACCGCTGAGGCGGAAAACGAAAAATGTTAAGCTTGACGCGAAACACCATCGGACAAAAAGCGCACTTGACGCGCTTTGTGTTTTACCGTGTTGTGTGCGGCACGTATAGAGCCTCACTGGGAAACCGTTCTTTGCACGTTGCTTATTTTCTTTCTGCTTTTCCAGCTCTCGCCGGCCCATTCAGGGAACGCGTGAAATACCCGAAGTCTTGGGGAAACTGTCGGAAGCTGTTTAGGGGTGACTATATATCGAACTACTTTGTGTGCACCTCTCCTTCGTCTCAAGTTAAGCTCCGGTGAGTCCCGCAAAGTTGCTAGTGCTGCAGACAGAACCAACTAGCAGGGACTTGTACCAAGCTAGTTCTGCCTAACGGCAGAGTAGTGAAGTGGACAAAAAGATTCAGTCTGGTCATAGTCATGCCAATGGACGTAGTGGCAATGTTCGGCGTGGGCACATTGGCAAACGTGGCAGAAGCAGAGTTGCTATACCTCTTCCTTTTTTGTAAGTGCGTGTTGCAGAAGGAGGCATCAGAAGGTACCCGAATCAAACTTGCGGGGGAAAAAGCACAGATGGGATAGTATTGAAGGTGGTGTGTAGGTTGCTATACCATGGATAGTAACCAATCGGGGTCTTTAGTGCTAGTGATGGCTGACAAGCGGCTCTCGTGGCTGAACGCCGGATCACTGTTGAAGGCTGATCTCTCATCCCTACTTTCTCCACACTTCGTCCTCTACAGTATACAATCTTCCTCTATACTGACGTAAAGCAGTATCGACCTCATAAGCGAAACCTATTTGCCTCTTCTCGCTCCACCTCGATCGGGTTTTGTCGTGTGGGCCTGTTCGTTGGGCCTGGATCGACCCTCTCTCATTTCGGTCTTCAGCTGGCTTGACCAGTGCCCATCGCCTGCCACTGCGTAAGTTCACGATACCCACCTCATCGCCTGTGACCTCCTCATCTGTTCACTCATTCGTTCTCGTCGGCGCAGTATCTAGAGAAGGCTAATCTGTTTCTTTAACCCCAGCCGCAACTCCCGCACGTAACCTAACATTGCCTCCATCTACTTTCAGCCCCTGCTGTCCTGCACTTTTCGCAGGCAATATAGGGTGAAGTGGGAAAAGCTGATGTTGACCGGCTTAAGAATGGGATGGCCTGTTCTGTTGGATAATAAAACAGCAAACACTGGAGCGCTCAGTAGCAGACATCCCCCCCTCTAAGTACGTCGGCGTATAATGTGGACCGCATAAAAAAGCATACGCATCGTCGGGTGGGCAACAAAAAATATAGAGTCACAAGACACTTATTGATCTATTGACACATTTATAGTGGCAGGCGAAGCATACCTCTAAGCTTACATATATATATATACATGAGTGAGCACGTGTTCAGTGTATGTATATTTGATCTGGCTTCTCTGAGAAATACAATTTG